CAGTTTTAGGTTTACTTCTCTTAGTCGTTGAAAGATCTTTTCCAAACGTTCTAAATGCTCATCGTATGTCTTGGAGAAGATTATCAAGTCATCCAAATAGATGAAGCATATGTCCAGGTGTAGCCCTTCAAAACATTCCTCCATAAGCCTTTGGTATGTAGCAGGTGCGTTGACTAGACCGAATGGCATGCGATGGTATTCATAAAAGCCTAAAGGTCCAACTGTAAACGCAGTTCTTTCCTTGTGACTTTCATGTAACTCAACCTGATGGTACCCACTTTTCATATCTAAGATGGTAAAGAATCTATTTCCTGCTTACGCATCCAGTATTTCTTCTATCCTTGGTAGCGCATAGGAGTCTTTCTTTGTCCTAAGGTTTAGCTGGCGATAATCTACACACATGCGTAGTTCGTTGTTTTTCTTACGGCAAAGGACAACATTGCTCGACCATGGTGACTTCGACTTCCTGATAATTCCTCCTTCTAATAGTTTCCTTAAGTGATCTTTGACCTCTTCAAACATGGCCGGTGGTATTCGCCTTGGTCTTTGCTTAAATGGTGTTTCGTCATGCAAATCGATCCTATGTTTCACAATGTTAGTGTGTCCTATGTCGATGTCTGACTTCGAGAATACATCCTCATATTTCCTCAATAAATGTTCTGCTCCTTGCTGCTCTGATACTGTAAGTTTATCTAGCTCGATCTTCACCAAACTTAAGATATCTTTGGTTTCTTGGAGGCTAGAACATGGTAAAGCTGTTTGATTTGGTTCGATTTTCACTGGTTGTAGCTCGCATATGATGGATTTAGGTGGAACTTGTACTGTCCTTGTAGTGATGTTGTCAATGTCCACTCTTACCACATGACTGGCTGGATAGTTATAGTCTGTAAGTGATGGTACAATATCCAGGTCTGATGGAATTACAGAGCGAGATGTAGCTTGTAGAACTGCTGTTGTAGACTGGTATGGAATAGCCTTGTCGATATATCCAGAAATAGAAACTGTTGAATTTGGTGGTATGATAATACAATGATTTTCAGCTGATTTTATAATCCCAAGTCGATTGTTGTTCCGAGCAAGTTCTTTTTCTCGTAATGCCATTCCTCTAAATGCGAGATACCATGGTGTAAATAAAGCAGCATCCTGTAGATATTTATCTCCATATTTGTCCTTGACACCATCTAGCATGTGTTGTAATATATTCGTTCCAATCAGAAGTAGTACTCGACTGTTGTAGTTACTGGTGGATACAACGAGCAATGGAAATTGCAGTGGTTCCTCCAATGATTGCGGTATTCCCTTACTTTTGATGGAAGCTTCGATATATCCGTAGTATGGTAACTGTTGACCATCTGCGCATTCCACTTGTAAAAGTTCTTTTATTGGATGGAGTTCTAAGTGACTAGGTTGTTTCATATAAAGGTCATAACTAACTGTGGAAACAGTAGATCCAGTATCAATCAACGCTCTAACTAAAATTCCTTCCAAACTTGCTTCCACTTCCGATGTATTTCCTACCAATTCATTATTTCTATTGCTAGTAGGGCCTTTCCGGTACTGACCTAACGTTTGCCCCGCAACGAAGGTCTCCTCACGTTTAAATACCTCCTACTATGGTCCATTCGCAGTTGACAATAACGGGCGATATGTCCCGGTTGTCTGCATTTGTAGCATATAATAGGTTCTCCATCCTCTGTTTGAGCAGATTCCTGGCTGTTATATCCATAGTCATAATCATAGTTGTATGCCTGAGGATATCTAAGACCACTGTAGTTTTTGAAATTAGGATGTCCTCTGTATAAGTTTCCAGCGCCATAATTTCCTCTTTTGGACTGTGGTGGCGGAAATCTGACGTACGATTCTCCAAGATCTTTCCTGTTTGTACGCTGTTGTTCCATGGCACTGACTTTTGTAGTGAGCTGTTGAATCATTCCTTTAAGTTCCTTAATCTCATCTCCTTTCTCAGCTTCACTTGATGTTACAGCCATGTTGGATTGTGCCTTCTTTGTTTCATGTTCCTTTTCTACAAGTCTGATTTCTTTCCTAAGTTCATCAAAATTGGTCAATGCATCAAATTTGTATCCAGTTATATCCTTAATCCACTGATGAATACCATTCCAGAATTTTGATCTCAATTTCTCATTTGCATCCTCCTTGGTTGCAACTCCTTTGATGACTGCCTTTCTATAAATCTCCTCTAGACGACAACTCCAACTCATGCTATCCTCTCCTTTTTCTTGTCGCGCACTGTAAAATTGTTCCATGATTGTTTCTCCTCGTTCTATAGTACCAAACACACTCTCCATCTTGTCCAGTATCTATGTTACAGTGGCTCCAGGACCAAGTCTCATAGCAACCTTTCCTGCATCTCCTCGCAATGATCTCCGAATTGACTGAGCAATTATCTCCTCCTTGCACTTCTCCTTGATCAAACAGTCAAATTCATATCGCCAAAGATCATATGTAGTATCATTCTTGCTGCCGTCTCCAGAAAAGCAGGAGATCTTTGGGATGTGGGAACTGATGGTGCTTCCTGATGCTGATGCTGATGACGTTCCAGTATCCGCGTGCGGTTCTGTCTTTACATTGACAAATTCCTCCTCATTCATTTGTGCAACATACTGAGTCATCCATTGTTTGAAATCCTGTGCTGTATCAGCTTTTGGTTTTATGTTTTATTCTTTGAAGACTTTTGCAATTTGATCGAGTTCCTCCTGTGAAATGTCTACAGACATGATGATTTGTTGTTTGTTGTTTGATTTCGAAATAAACTTTTCTTAATAACTCAATACTAGCTAGGTACCTAGTAACTAAATCTACCTTAATTATCTAAATAAATCTAAGACTACATCCTCTGAAGCTGAAGAATCCAATGTATAATCCAATTCGAAGAGTCCGAGATGAAGTCAAATAATTAAATCTAACTAATTAATAAACTAATTAAACTTAAATTTTAAATATCTACTTAATTAAATTTTAAATTCTATGTAACACTAAATTTCACTGAAATGCAAAGGTATTAATCACCTGAAAAACAAAATTTCAAATTAAATTTCTAAATAAGCTGAAATAAAATTAAATTAAATTACCAAATGAAATAAATAAATAAAAGTTTAAAGAATATACTAACTAAATCCTAAATAAATATAACCTTAATCTACATGTAATATAACCTTAATCTAATACTACCTTCTAAATAACTAAATGGTTCTGAAGAATGAAAGATAACTCTAAATACAAACTTACTCAAGGAAGATAACTCTCTTCAGTACACCGGGTGCGCTCAAGCGTGACGAACTCTCGGCCAGGGGTCAAATACTCGATGTAAACAAAATTACGCGAAATCAAAGTAAACGGTACGACAATTAATGCAAAAATATGAAAAGGAATTCAATGTATAAACAATAAATGACGGACACAGGTGAATCACCAACACACTGATTACTCAAAGTACTGTAATGTGACCCTACTATACATATGCACTGAAATGTACAGTAATCTGGGTATTAAATAAACTAATTCACATGTTGACTATAGGGGTGATATAGGGGTAATAAGCTACTAAATACTGTAGAACTAGACCAATGAATCTAAATCAAAACAATAGACTCACTCAGACACACTAGTCACCTTAAAATCACCTGTAAACAAACTACCTGTACCTTTAAGTCTAAATGTAGGTCACAAATGTCAAGGCTGATCAAGAGAAAAGAAATTAGTGTGGGGTGGAAACCAGGTATATCAGATTAATAGAATTAATTTCTTGCACACACTACAAAAAAAATTACTCAGAAATAAATAATATTTACACTTAATATATACAGGAAGGGTATAGAAGGCTTTTCACTTTATAACAAAAATATGCCTGTCACTTCTCAGTCAAAAATACACGTGTTTTGAGCACAATTGTAAAATAAAAATACCTTACCGTGCTGGCAAGCTTCTAAAGATCACAATAATGAAATAGTCACAAAGGTTCAAATGAAATGTCACTGGTCATACGCTGAATGTCACTTTCACTGAAAGTCCAGCGTTGAGTGGATTGCGCAATACAGTCTCTGTCTGTAAACACTACACGTCGGTGGATCCTGGATCCTCCTCGGCGTGAGATCCTCACGGTTAGTACGTCTCGCAATGGTCAGTCAGCCAATCCTGATCCCACCGTGGATGCCATTGAAATGGGGTTCGTTTTATACGTAAATGAACACAAACACCATGTTGTCGATATGGATAAGTGTATTCAATGAGTATTGTCACAGCTCTGCAAGATATAAACAATATATTAGATATTTTATAACAATACATACATGTAGATCACTTGCCAGATAGCACGGTCAAAAATAAGAGTTATTTCCCTTTAATTGTGCTCATAGATAAAACATTAAGAGTTATCTTTCTTAATCAATAATATGTACAAAATATAAACACTGGAATTTATAGATGAAACAATAAGATCAAATTATATTGAACTCTTCCAGAATTATATGGACACTATATTCAAAATATATATACATCATACCTATATGTGATATAAAGCCATTCTCCAAATATACAATATGATGAGTGAAATCTTTCTCAGTGATCTGCACATAAATAAAACACAACTTTACTGTATTGCTCTCAAAAATATACAATACACTGATATATGAAATCATTACTTTTCATTATTTACAAAGTCATAAAATAATCACAAAGACTGAATCTTCATACTTTATATTAGGATATTAATATCTGGGAATTAAATAGATAAACAATTATATAGAGATAATGAAATTAGTAAAAAGTCAACTTACATTCTGCCCAGTCTTGGTCATGGTCGTAAATAAGTCAAGATAGACAAACAAATACTCAAACACCAATATGTCTGCTGGTCAGACCAAGATCTCCAACAAAAGTAATTAACTAAGCTAAAAACCAAAAGAGAGGGAAAACAAACCAACCAATGAAATCCAAGTTGGCCCTGACACTACACAAGATATAAATAGAAAAGGGACAGGGGTTTAAATGACCACTGTGATGTCATACATCTATAAATAACACAATAAACACAGATTGATGTAAATAATTCCATGTGGATTTATTCAATAAATAAAATGCTGAAAAGAAATAAATATGATAATTCAACTGAATTAATTTAATCCTGAAATATAATAATTAATAAATGAAATAAATCATTCTATCACATATATACACTTACCAACCCAGACGTCTTGTTCTGGTGAACCGAAGCCATTTTTATATGCTGACCAATCTCTGTCAAAACTCGGGGATCCGGTAACTCGTCTTTGAATTGTCTTAAAAAATTAACAATTATAGCAATACAATTCACTGCTTCATACAATCGTAGGAACAATGTATTATGATATAGAATTAAATATTCATATTTATTAAATTCTACAATTCTTTAAACGACAAGAAAACGGAATGTGAGTAATGTTATGTGCTTCTAAATCTTAAATGAACTACATACCGTCCATCCCCCGTACATTGTGGTCATATCGCAATATACTCGGACAGGACTGGTAATGGTTCCATAGGGATAGATGGTATACACCCCTGAACAAGCCTTGTCATCTTCATATAGATCCTTACAATCTAAGGGGATAGCTGAAAAAAAGTACGTGAATCATTTTCTGCATAAATACAGGTAATAATAGGATACGTGTGAGATACAAATACAGGTATTAAAAAGATACGTGTGAAATTCATTTAGGTTAATTGTTGAAGATACATTGTGTGCTTTGATGTAGTTCCAATGTAGATTATGATAAGCTCTTTCTCATTACCTGAAATTATTTTGGTTTTGTAATTGTTTCAGATTTATGATTTGTTAGACATATAATTAAAGCAACTTCGTAAAAATAATCCTAATACATGTACCTTGTCGTTAATTCAAACTTTATTTGTATCTCTAACTGGCAGCAATATTAAATATTACTTCATTTCTAAGTAAATGAAGGATAAAGAGATAAAAATGAGAAGGTATTAACAGATGTTTCGTGTGGTAGAAAGTGTTTGCACGAAAATCCATCACTGCTTAATGACCATTCAAGTGCCGAGTATAGGCGTTTGCAGGCCCTAATCGGCAAGTGGTAGCGTTCTCAGTGTGTATGAAAAATTGTCAAGAGGGACCTTAAATAACAGACAACCAAAAAAGCAAACAGGCAGAAAAAATAACCATTATACATACGACGGGAAAATAGATAACAGTCATACATACAACGGGGAAGAAAAATAATTGTACATAAAGAGGGAATTAAATAACAATTATAAATACGATATTGAAATAATAACAGTTATACATACGGCGGGGAAGTGAATGACTTTGATGAGAGTAGTATCTCCAGCCGTCCTCCTTAGTCATCGTAGACGAGCAAACCTTTTTGTGTGTACGACATTTCTTCGTTTGCGAGTTGAAACCAAAGAAAACGCAATCTCCTTGACACATCGCAGCACACATTGCCAATGAATGAGAATTCTGTTCCCCTAAAAGCTCGAAGTTTGATGTTTTATCATTTAACTCGAGTTTCGCGGTAAAATTCTGTAAAACAATGGTAGCTTCGGACAAAGCCATGAAGGCGAGAATCAAAGTGATAGCATACAGATTGCTCATTTCTTGTTTTTCTTTTTTTTAAGAAAAAAAAAAATAACTGCTGTTTTCTTGTGAATCTGCAAAATTTTGCCGAATGGTCCTATAACTGCCAAATATAAATATCAGAACTTTAATCAATACCTGAAAAATGATTGGCTGTTACGTACTCTATATTTTGCTGTTGTTTGACTATTGATTTTATTGAATTTAACATGAAATGTCATACGAGTATGTACTTCGGAATTCCAATTCAAATTCAGTCCTCTTATGTCATGCTGTTTAAGAGTGGGTTTTTAGTGACATGTCATTGACATTTTAAAATTATTTAATTGTTATCCTTCATTACCTTTCTCTGAATGAATTAAGAGGTCGTCCATCAAAATATCAGGCAACAAGTGGCACATGGTGTGATTCAGAAATTCATCATTTTTGCTGTATTAGTTACTTTTGACATGAAAACAATGTTGGTAAAATAAAAAGTTTCCACTATCATTCCTAAGCCCTGTACTGTGATATACCACATTCTTAGTGCAGAAAGGTCACGAAAACAGGCAAAATTAAGCATAGTTTATTTATCTAAAAAATCCATACGACTTAAAAATCATAATATATAGTTGTAAATGGTTAAGATAAAGATCTTTGCTACAGTAATGTATTACAAAATATTTACTGATAAAGAGTTATCGATTAAAGACTTTTCGCCCCTCCTGGCCCCTAATTTGAGTGCCCAGCCCCTTTTTCTTGATTTCGTCTTAAAGTTCTTATGATTTTGAACACTTTTTGTTCAACAACTATTCAGAGATTCCTTTTCGTTTTCGAGTTATTTGCAAAATAAATATTTAGGGGCCAACCCTTTAACTCCCTAACGGGGACGTTTAGCGAAAAATGAAAGGTTGCGTATTGTTCAGAACATTATTTTGAACATCTTTTGTTCAGTATAACTTACCAAAATATTTCTCTCTTTCGAGATATAAAGCGTCAAAGATTGAGCATTCTGGCCCCTTGTGGCCCCTTATTATGTACCATACGACATAAAAATCATAATATATAGTTGTAAATGGTTGAGATAAACATCTTTGCTTCAGTAATGTATTACAAAATATTAACTGATAAAGAGTTATCGATTAAAGACTTTTGGCCCCTCTCAGCCCCTAATTTGAGTGCCAAGCCCCTTTTTCCTGATTTTGTTTTAAAGCTCTTATGATTTTGAACACTTTTTGTTCAACAACTATTCAGAGATTCATTTTCGTTTTCGAGTTATTTGCAAAATAAATATTTAGGGGCTAACCCTTCAACTCCCTAATGGGAACGTTAAGAGAAAAATGAAAGGTTGCATATTGTTTAGAACGTTATCTTGAATCCGGGTCATTTCTCCCCAGTACCTGCTCCGCCTAGGTCATTTCCGCCCAAGTCATCTCTCTCCTGGGTCTTTTCCCTCCATTACCCAGGTCATTTCTCTCCACAACCTAGGTCATTTCACTCCAACACAAAAATTATAGTGTAATAAGTTTAATATTATTAAGTTTTGTTGATTACAACGCTGAATTTATCGCTAACTTTATTTATTTTGTTTCATCTTATTTATTTATTTATTAATTCACAGATATATTTTTTATTTATTTATAACTTCACACATTTATTTTTTATTTTATTTATAATTCAAACATGTATGCATTCACTCATTTATTTGAATAATTATTTTTTTTAGAATTCTTTTATAATTTAATTCATTCCTTTATTTGTTAATTGTTTCTGTCTATTACTTTATTATGTTTATATGTAATTATATATGTTATATGTTTATGCCTAATGGGCCCTGATTGGTAATAAATTCTATTCTATTCTATTCTATTAATTAATCAATTTATACAATCTTGAACTAGCTTTTCAAAAGGACAGAGGCACATGATTATTTATTATTATTCATTAATTCTATAGCTAAAACTTACTGTCTTTCTTTTTAATGGAATTAGCTGCAAAACTGTAGCTCTCTGAAAAATATGTATTGAAAGTGCGTTCTGTCAAAAAAAAAAAATAAATAAATAAAATAAATAAAACCGGAGAGCTACAGTTCTGCAGCTATAATGGATTATAGAATAACTTTAAATGCGATAATAGAAATATTTATTTTAATCTTCTTTCTTTAACAATTAAATTCATTATCAATTAGACCTACAGTGAATTTGTTTATTGTCCTGTCTTCTGTCGTTTATGGTCTTTATCAGGAATAAATAAATAATTGTTAGAATTCGTAATTGCTGTCTTGCGGTTTTATGGTACCCTACAAGGTGTTTTTTTTATCATCATGCTGGGTGCATATGTTTATCCGTAAATTGTCGATTTCACAGATTGACAACACAATATCTCCTTTAGTCTTTAGACAAAAAAATGTCAACTTGTACAAAGATGTGTTCAGTCAGATTATTACATAAATAAGAATTTGTTCCCACTTTTAATTAAATTGAATAAAAACTCATTTACATGTACTGTAATACTTCCTAACGATCACAATTTTAGGCAAGATGACTAATCCTAAATGTATGCATTTTCACAATCAAGTAAATTTTAACTTTTTAGATTTCATTTTTTCTCCAAATTACACATGTTTTGTCTGTGCAACAGTGGCAGCCCTCCCCCCCACATTAACATGTTTATTAAAAGAACGTAAAATTAATGTACTTTTTAATTTAAAATGTCCCGATTGTTACAAACATTTTTCTGCATTATTTTCTCTTGCGTAAATATGTATGTGCATACATGTAAAAGACCTCTTAATGTCTCCTTGATAATGAAACGGAAGTATTGAACAGTCGAAAGATCATTTTAGCTAACATGAGATCGAGTCATATGTCTTTGCCCTTTCAAAAAGCTAGTTCAAGTTTATGTTATAGTTGGAATATTTTTGTTTGTACTTAAAATTTATGATCTCTGGTATAGCAATTGAAACTGAATGCCATGGATAAAATGCGTATAAAAATGAGATGATTTTTTTAATTGAATCCAAGAATATGTAAACTTTTAGAGACAATAGATTATTTGACATCTACTGAGATTATCAAGATTACAAGTCCTGAACAAAATTTTATACAGTCCTGATAATGTATTCTCTATTTCATAAAATATTGTGGTAAACACAGCAGATTACATAATATTAAAAAGGGAGGTGGGTTTAAATAATTTTTCTTACATTAGATTCATACATGTAAGAATCGTTTTAATGGTGCAATATGCTAGTACTTTAAACATATTAAAATTTACTAGCCATTTCCGGCGAAGTTGTGGAGGTGTATTGCCACACCGAATAAATTCCTTTTCAATGTCTTATAATTCATTTTTAAGAGATATTTTTTCCGTTTACATTCCCGTTAATTCAAGTGGTTTGGATACTTTGTTAATCTTGTATACCTTGAAAATATTGTCATATTGATAGCATTTTTACGTCCACTGGCGTCGGAAGCAAATTGAAAGTAGGGGGGGCTAAGTGTAAAAAAAACATTGTGTACCTTCCAAAAAATCCTGACAAGCAAAAAAAGGGGGGGGGGAATTGTCCATTTCCCAAACACAAAAATCCTATTTCGTGTGTGTGTGTGGGGGGGGGGGGGTTAAGTTCGAAATTCATTACCAAAATTTCTTTTCCAAGTTTACACCACCATTTTCCCCAGTTTCAGCCTATACTAAGAGGATCTGTGGAAAGTGGGGGGGGGGGGGGGCTAAACCAACGAAGATATATTCAATGTCTATACTAAGTATATACATGTATTTGGAAAAAAAGTGGGGGGCTACGCCCCCCCCCTAGCCCCCCCCCCCCGGTTCCGACGCCTATGACGTCATTATTTTCTTCGCGTTCTCATTATTTATAGTTTTATAATATAATCAAAATAAATATTGGTAAATATTTACAAACTTTTACTGTGTACCTGGTTTCATAATATATTTTTTGAAGTATCCTTTGTTTTCTAAAAAAAATTTTCTTTTTTTTAGCTGCAGAACTGTAGTTTTCAAAAAAGAAAATGTATTGAACCGATCTGTCAATATATTTCTTTTCGGAGAGCCATGTTCTGCAGCTATTATTCTATGTCATGTCTATTTTCTCCCTTTTTTCTCCTAAGATCAAAATTGACAAATAATTTAAAAACTGTTTTATTTTTATTCCAACGTATTTGTATCGCCAAACAAAATCAATCAATAAAAGCAACATTTTTTGTATTATTTTTCTAAGATTCGAGTTTGATCAGTAGCTATATAATATTCAGATTATAGAAAAAACTTCATCATCGGCTATGGTAAAAATTAATTCTTTTAACAAATTAATTTATTTTAATTGAGTTTAATTTTTTCTTTCAAAATTATTACCCTTAACAGAGGAGGCCTCCACGTAGCAAGGGCTGGACAATGGTATCAATTTATTTTCATTAATATCAAATATCAAGTTGATAAAATTAATTTATTTTACGAGACAAAAGTTAATAACACAAGAATGGAAATGTAAATACATTATATAAGTCCAGATAAAAAATGGGGTGAAATGACCCAGGAAGGAGAGAGAAATGACCTACCGTGAAATGACCTACCGTGAAATGGTAGGAGAGAGAAATAACCTGGGAGAGAAAAATTTTTAGAGAGAAATGACCTGACACCCGTTATTTTGAACATCTTTTATTCAATAATACTTATCAAAATATTTCTCATTTTCGAGATATAAAGCGTCAAAGATTTGGCATTCTCTCCCCTTGTGGCCCCTAATTATGTACCATACTACATGAAGATCATAATATATATCTGTAGATCGTTGAGATAAACATTTTTGCTTCAGTAAGGTATCACAAAATATTGCCTGGTAAAGAGTTATCGATCAAAGACTTTTGGCCCCTTTTTGCCCTTAATATGATGAGTCAGCACTTTTTTCATGGAATCATATTGAAGATCCTGGCATTCCCCACAAATATTGTTCAGTATGTCTTAACAAAATAATTATACTTTAAAAGATATGATACAAAATGTTTCGAAAATTCACTCATGATTCGTGTCCTAGATTTTGACCCCTACCGAGCTTCCATATTGGATCTTTCTGAAAAATTCTAAATCCAATGCGCAATTAAGCAATGTGTCATCTATCATCGCTGAAAATTTCAGCTCTCTAGCTAATGTCGTTTTTGAGTTTACTCAAGGACAAGGAGACCCTCTAAAAATCAATGAAAGGGCGATAACTTCG